TACACTCGTATATTCGACAGATTATCCACAAGGTGGTGATGAAAGCCATGTAAATCAAGGGAAGATACATATGATGCAATATACAATGAAAAGAGCTTTTATAGCAACATATATGCAGTGGGTATAATATCCTCATATAGTCAACACCAATCAGCGTGCATGGAGGGGTTGGTGACAGATGCATACTCCTATAAACTATTGTAGAAGACCCATAGTGTACCCAATATAATGTTCACAAGCAAAGTGCCAAAGAGTTGCAATAAATGCAAACACCTACGGATCCAAAGCAGGAGATTCGTTAGTGCACTAAATCACACTGTAGAAAATAAACAATTATGCACGACAGTCTACCTGTACAAAGCAGCAAACAACTGATCCAGAAGCTGCTACGCAATGCCACCGGATCTGCAACATTCGTACAAGCAGACAGAAGGCGTCTACAATCTACAACGCATCGCCACAGGATCCGCAACACTCGTACTAGTGGACAGAAGGCGTGTATAAACTTTCAAATGAAATATTGTGTGAATTTAAATAGCAATTACATGCACAACTAAAATATTTCAAAATACCCCTGCACGTGCACTATAATTTGTATACACATAGGTACACTAAATGGGGTAAAAGCAATCAAGAACCCGCATGGGCCCCGGCGAGCGTGTTATTGGTACACACGTGACGTCTAGGGATGCTGCGCGGGTTATTAAATTTGAACTCGATCCTCCTATGCAGATAAAAGAGGTGGACAGGGTTCAATTATAAAATGCCCCCAAACATCCGCAGGGGCCCCGGCGAGCGTGTTATGTGTACACACGTGATGTCTAGGGATGCTGTGCGGGCCAACAAGTGAATTCAATTTCGAACCCGATCCTTCTATACGGATCAATAGGAGTCGAAAAGGTTCGAACCATTAAGCAAATATGTGGCCATGGCGACCAGAATATTTGTTTTAATACATTCATATTAGGCTTCAAAGCCTAAAACAAAAGAATTCACTCTCAAAGCATAAAGCCTACGAAACCCGATCCTCTGTCGATAGCAAGACAGAGTCGATAAGGTTCAAGCTTTAAATGGAAAAAACCCGCCTAACACCTCGATTGATGACTCGTGTTGAATGCATATCTCACCGAAGGGCGTTCCCAAATGTTTTCAAATGTTTCCCAAATATCCAAAGTCCATAGCTCACCATAAAATACCCATTCAAAATCCAAAAATTCCAAAAAAATCATCAAGTCCAAAAATATTTAAAATTGAAATAAATCCATCAAAAACTTAAAGTAAAATCCATCCACCCTCCGCAACAGTTTGCCGGGCGGACAAATTAAAGTTTACTTCAGCTCACAAAGAGCCAAGTGCCTAGTCGAAAATATCACTAGGATCCATTCTCAAACAATCTCTTGCCAGTAAGGACGTGGTACGTAACTCTAACGCAGTTTCGCCGCCAAATGGCACCACGAAATACCGGTTATGGCCAGAGCCAATACGCTCCTTAATGGCGTTAAATCCTTGAGATATGAATCAATATGATATGATCGATACGGCACAAAAGCCCTCTGTTAGCTAAGGTGGATTCAAATATTTGTCCCTTAGACAAACATCCAACCTAGGTCTACAAGATTCCTTGGACTAAGCAACCCATGACTACCGACAAGGATCCTTCTGTCAGGTTGGGTCGACTACCTCCTCTGAGCTAAGTAGACCAGGGACCACGATGGCCCGGGCATGATGGAACCATGGGATCTTGATCGGGTCATCATCCATTCCCCCACCATCCCTTTAAGTGCTGGATGATGAAAATTTCATATTTAAATATCAAACTTTCAATACTTTCCAAATATCCAAATCCAATTTCCAAATCCAATCTATGCTACTACTATATGCCAGATAACACGTATTCTATACGTATCTGATTGACGACTAGCCTTAATTGAAAGTTCTCTCTCGTGATCGGGAGAGGTAATTAACTATAGGGACTTGCGCCTATAGGAAACCAGAACTCAGATCATAAAGTCCTCACAAAATGAGGGCGAAATCTCTGGGTAGTGTCTTATCTACAAACCATCTGTCTTCCAAAATTTACCCGAAATTTATTCGTTAAAACTCCCCTCGCCGAATAAAAGAAAAGCGGGCGGAGGCCGGGGCCGGATTTTCGGAGCCCACATTTCCGACAGCTAACTTTCAAGTATTATGTTTTATTACACCTCATATGATGGTGTTTTGATAGGGTATTTCAACTTTATAAGTTTCTGGTTTTATCTGAAATAGCCTCTGGATGAGAGGAAAAAGGAAGTGTGCTAAACTATATCAACCGTCACATTCAATAACTCGCATACACGTGATGTGAAGCATCAAAGCTTGTTTCAAATGACCTCAATACCATATCTTAAAAGGTTGTGAATGAATAACATGGCAAGTTCTCAACTCTCCTGAGTCATCGAACAATTAGCAATTTTATGGTCAACCAACAAAAGACCATTGAGACTTAGGTCTCTTACACCATTCAGAAGCGCATGGACAACTGTTTTATTCTTGGCTCTGTCGAGTCATAGAACATTTGAAAAGCTTGTGGTCAGTAATCAAAGCATAGCAAAATAACATATGAGCCTTACCACCATACCCAAAAGATAGTGGAGGTGGGAAACTCAAGAGTAGCACAATTAGGAGATCTGGTTTATTCTTTAAGGAATGGATTTTATGGAAGGTTAAATGTAGGAAATCAGATATTGAGGGCTATATTAGCATATGAAGTTATGATCAAAGAATTTTAGTGGAGTTTTATAATAATTAAATGCTTATAAGAGGTGGGAGAATAGGCCATGATATACTTGCACCTAATATTAACTGGCAGCTTCTAGAAAGGGTTTGATGTGAATTTAATGGTTAGGTTGAGTATGGCTGCTCTTGGAGATGAATAGGAATATAGGGGAAGATGCTAGTAAGGTTTCAAAGAGGGATTTGAGAAACGAAACATTAAGCATAAAGATCACTAACCAACTCCCACCAAGAATAGTAAAGTTAGGCAACCAGGCTCTAACCACAAGAAAATCAATTTCTCCCAAAATTTCTGATTCAAAAGTTGAAATATTGCATGTATAACGAAAAACACTATATATAGCGCATTACATTGACCCTTGAATACCTTATTTCAAACAAAAGAAAAAAAAATTAAGGGAAAAAGTAGGGCTGGATGCTTAAATGGAGAAGTTCCAACATGCTTTTAATTCTTCATGAGTATTCAACCACTGATCCACATTGTCCAAGAAAAAATAAAAGATAGAAAAGAAAAAACAAAAATTTACAATTCTAAATTTTTTAATTTTGGGCTCTTTATTTTGGCTCTTATAATTAGACAATTTATTTGGTCCCTTGCTTGGGCTTTAGATTAACTCTTATAATTTAACATTCATCTTGGATTTTTTAATCTACATAATGTGCTAGATCAAATAGTGAATAGCAACGTGATCACCTCACTCTATCGATTATTGGACATCCAACAAGCTTGTGGTCGACCATAGGAGGTAGAGAAAGAAGATAACTGTAAAGAGGGAGAAGAATAGATTGAGTATAGAAAAACCGATATCACTTGGTTGGATGATCTGGCAAAGCTCTGATCATGCTTCCATGGGGACTCCTTCAGTTAGGCATCAAAGAAGCATTCTAACAAAACACCATGGCTTCCCTTCTTTTCTTCTTATGCTCATGGAAAACTCTACTTATTTGTAGGAGGTTGGAAGTCCTTTATTTTTACAAGAGATGTAGGACTAAAATTCTTTTAAGGCTAGTTCACGAGAGCTAGATCATTGATTTTATAAGGATGTGGGACAACCCACATGATAAAGGACCAACTTCAAATCGATTGGAAAACTATTTTGGCTTGATGGGATCCCATCAATTTTTGAGAATTTCAGTAAAGACTCAAGGTGCGACAAGGCCACATAAGATCCAATGGGCTCTTTGAGCATAAAAAATCTACGAATAAGAGAGAGACTCGAGGATTTTTTTTTTTTTTCCCCAGACATTTAACATCTTTTGTCATTGTGGAGAAGTCCTAGGCATAGTTAAATGCCTTGCTAGTACAAACACACTAAAGGGTGTTGATGCGGGCCAGTGTTTGATCCCAAAACCTGCGTAATTGAAGAAAAACCACAGGCATGCCTCTGACCAATGAGTTTGAGCCAAAGCGAAGATAAAAAATTTGCTCATTCATATATTCCCAATCTAATAGACAAAAAATCCAAAAATCAAGTAAATAACACTGGTTTACCAAGCTATGGCCTTGAAAGTAAGTCCAGTGGACACAACCTCCAAAAAATTGAAACTCAGTTAACAGAATTGAGCCGGAAGAGTGGGAATGTAGGTTCAACCACTGCTCATTAAAAAAATAATATATATACAAATATTTCCATAAATTGCAAAGCCCTTGCAACAATTGCTCAGCAGTTTTGTATCAACAAAAACATAAGCACTCTTACTCATGTTGCTTGGTGGTGCGATGGTTTCTTAATGTAATTGGGCGTTTTAATTGAAAATACAAAAAAAAAAAAAAACAAATAATTAAACACTTGAATAGAAATAAATAAACTAAGAATTGAATAAGCAGCAAACCTTGGTTTGAGATGAAATATCAAGCTTCTTCAACCTGTAAGCAAATACCATCCATTTAGTAGTGTTCATATAAATCAGTTAACCGTGTAAATAATGCAAAAGTATACAACAGCAGAGACGTGCCATTGCCATCTTGAAATGGCAAAACCATAATTTCGAGAACAAAGATTAAAATGGCATACTTCTCAGGTGTGGTTTATCTAGCTTGCGTTGTTCTTTGCTTACCAGAAGGCTCCATATTGGCAGTTTGATTTGATTCAGACAACGAAATCTTAGTAGAAAGCTCTAAGATTCTCAAACAAACGTACTTCAAGGTTGTCCAATGCTCGGCTTTCACTATCCAACGTAGAGGTTGACTCCGCGGATTGTCTTAATTCTTCGTGAATTCAGGTAACTTTATTCCAACAGCTTTGCTATATGTGGAATTGATGAAAGCCAGCTCTTCAGGGTTAAGAAGCCTATCAAAGAGCCAAGACCCTGAGTATACCCTTATTGATGAAATATATGATAAAATAAGGACTACAGTTGACAATGAGGCTCACCTTCACCGGTGAAAAATTCACTATCCCATGCTAAACTTTTGCGCAAGCTGTACCTATCAGATCTTCCGCACTTTTTCTGTGGAGATTCAGATAGTTCGGAAAGTTGCTCCATTTTCTTGCACACCCTCTCCGCATTTCGGCTTCAGATATAAAAGTGTAAGATCCTGGGCAGTTAAAGCAAGCATAATTTTATAAGAGGCCGATTTGGATAGAAGGATGGCAAAATGGACGTTAGTATTCAATAATTTCACTTGACAGGCCTGAATCATTACCATATAAATCAAGTCCTGTGCCATTTATAATTAGGCTTATTTTCCTTGTTTCGTTTAATAAACTTATAACAACAATGGTTCAGAACAAACATTAATGCCTCCAGCCCATAAGGCACCGCAAATTTGGAAAAATTACATCTGTAGTGTGAATTTTATATTCTTTATTCTTTTATTTTTGGAGGAATTAGTGTGGCATTCTGTGTCCTAACTAATTTAATAAGGTGGGATATCTCAATATAAACTACTACTACTATATGGGATCAGCTACATTGAATATTTTTTCTCATTGTGTCCTATTAAAGAGTCAAATTCTTATTTAAACCAATGAAAAAATGTCATTTCTAACACTTGTTAATCAAGTCTTTTTAGGACTACCTCTACATTTCTTAACATAGGTCAAATCTAATACATCTACTTTCCTAACTGGGTCATTGGAAAGCCGGCATTTTATGTGACTAAACCATTTAAGGCAACTTTCTCTAATTTTATCTTCCACTGGAGCTACTCCAACCTTTTCATGCATATACTCATTTATCACTTTGTCTTTTAAGTGTAAAGCCACTCATAAACAATTTGTATAACAACGCTCAATG